TATCTATCTATCTATCTATCTATCTATCTATCTATCTATCTATCTATATACATGTAAAGACAGACTGAGACAGACAAAGACAGAGAGACACACACATACACACACACACACACACACACACACACACACACACACACAGAAGGGTTTCCAGGAAACTTTGAACGCAGCAAAATTTGATGGGGGTTGAAACTCCTTTACCCCTTAGCACTGTGTTGATGAGATCACAGTGTAAATGGTATAAGTGGAACACCTATTTTAAGTAGCTCTATGTCTAAAGCCTGTCCTATTTCTTTTTATTTTATTTTATTTTTGTTGTAAGTTCCAAATTCTCTCTCTTTCTCCATGCCTCCCCAACCCATTGAGAAGGCAAGAAATACCATATCTAATAAACCAATTGTGGGAATTGAGTGAAACACACTGACTCCACCCTGTGACAGTTCTGGAACTAGTTCAATTCTCTTTCCATTCAATTATGGGTCTAGTCCAATTTGTGTCTTTTAAGAAAACTTTATTCAATTATAGGAATTGAGAGAAAACTTTATAGCATTGTTTGAACCTAGCTCTGCATGGCTGGGAAGCTGGACCACTCTTGTCTGTTTCTTAGAAACTCTTAAGTAAGGACCTAGGGTATGATGAGCAGAAACCCAGTCAGATTCAAAGATGCAACAAGTTTTCTCACAATTGCCCATCTCAAGCAACACATATATCTTATCTGAAAACTGACCACATACTGATCAATCAGTTATTTTTTTCCCTATTCCTTTGATTGAATACAGATACTTGGGGGTGGGAGTGGAGAGACATCTCTTTTTCTGATTTCAGGGGAATTGCAGCTGTTTACTCTCCTCCTTCCATTTTGGAAACCCCTAATCTTTCCTCCAAATAGAAATCAGATTACCTAATCTTGTATGCTGTTTTATATCCTATTAATTATTTTCTTTTATGCATAAAAATCTTTCTCTCCCTATATTTGGGTTCTGGTGCCAAGCTGAGGTCCTGGTCCTGATTTGTTATGAAACTGGCATGCATTGATTGATAAACTGATACACTCAGAAGTTTGAACCTTTGTTTCCACAGTTATTTCAGCTTTCACCCACCACAATACGAAGTCATCCAAAACATATTTCCACATTAGTCAAAAAAAAGCAAGAAAAATAAAGAGAAAAAAATTTGCTTCAATATGCACACTGAGTTCATCAGTTCTCTATCTGAAGGTGGGTGGCATTTTTCTCCTACTTCTGCTCACTTCTCTTTGCATCAGTTCATATAGGTCTTCCTAGGTCTTTCTGAAACTATCTCTTTCATCATTTCTTGCAGAGCAATGTTATTCCATCATATTCACATATCATAACTTGTTCAGCCATTCCCCAATTGGTGGGCATTCCCTCAGTTTCCAATTCTTTGCCATCACAAAAAAGGGCTGCTATAAATATTTTTGGACATACAGATCTTTTCTTTTTTCTTTGCTCTCTTTGGGGTACAGAGCTGGTAGTGATATTGCATTGCATGGTTTTATAGCCCTTTGGGCATAGTTCCAAATTGTTCTCCAGAATGGTTGGATCTGTTTCATAGTTCCATCAATAGCACATTATTGTACCTATTTTCCCACATCCCCTTCATCTTTTCTGCTATTTTAGCCAATCTGATGAGTGTGAGGTGGTACCACAAAGCTGTATTAATTTGCATTTCTCTAATTATTAGTGATTTAGAGCATTTTTTTAATATAACTATTGTTAGCTTTGATTTCTTCCTCTGAAAACTGCCTGTTCATATCCTTTGACCATTTGTCAGTTTGGGGAATGGCTTTTTTCCTTATAAATTTGGCTCAGTTCCCTATATATTTGAAAAATGAGATCTTCATCAGAGAAACTTGCTATAAATTTCCCCCTCAGTTTCCTGATTTTCTTCTAATTTTGGCTACATTAATTTTGTTTGTACAAAACCTTTTTAATTTTATGTAATCAAAATTATCCACTGTACCTCCTGTGAACCTCTTTATCTCGTTTACTCATGGACTTACCCTAGCCATAGATCTGAAAGATAATTTTTTCCATGCTCCCCTGATTTGCTTATCATATCACCTTAAGCCTGTCCCATTTCGAAGGAACCCAAGCAACCCTCAGAGGCCTGTACCAGCCTCTGGTCATCATGAGTCCAAATGAACCCAGAGATATGTGATCAATCACTTCATTGGCTTCTTTATTAGTTGATTTTCAGTGACTCTTTTAAAATTGAATTAAATTCTCACAACAAAAATCTAGTTTTCTTACCAACCCCTTCTCCTCCCAATGGAAAAAAAAACCCCACATAAGAAATATGCACAGTCAGAACAAATTCCTGAATTGGCCATGTCCAAAATATAAAAGTCTCAATCTTCACTTTGAGTCCATCACTTCTCTATCAGGAGATGGGTGGCACACTTCATCATGAATCCTCTGGAATTGTGACTAGCCATTGCTTTGAACAGAGTCTTTCAAAGTCATCTGTGCAATGCTACTGTGTTGTATAAATTGTTCTCCTGATTCTGCTCATTTCATCAGTTTACATGAGTCTCCCAGGTCTGTCTGTCTGTCTGTCTGTCTCTCTCTCCCTCTCTCTCTCTTTCCCTCTCTTCTGTCTCTCATTTTTTACAGCACAATATTATTTTATTACATTCATATACTATAATTTATTCAGCCGTTCCATAGTAATAGGGATCCCCTCTGTTGCCAGTTCTTTGCCACTGCAAGAAGAGATGCTATAAAAGCTTTTGTACAGAGGGGTCTCTTTCCTTTTTCTTTAATTTGGTATAAGACATGTAGGGGTATCATTGGATCAAAGGGAATGCATAGTTTTGTAACTTTTTTGGGCATAATTCCAAACTGCTTTCAAGAAGGTCTGGATCAATTCTCAGTTCCACCAAATGGTGTATAAAAGTGCCTATCTTTCCACAACAACTTCAGCATTTATCGTTTTCTTTTTTCGTCAACTTTGCCAATCTAATGGCAAATCTCAGAATTGCTTTAATTTGCATTTCTCTGATTATTAATGACTTGGAGAATTTTTTCACATGGCTATTGATAGTTTGGATTTCTTCCTTTAAAAACTTCCTGTTCATATCATTTGGCCATTTATCATTTGGAGAATGACTCTTATGCTTATCAATCTGAACCAGTTCCTTCTATTTCTTAGAAATGAGACCCTTATTAGACAAACTTCCTGCAAAGATTCTCCTCCCCGCCTCCCCTGTTTTCTGTTTCCTTTCTAATTAACTCTATTGGTACAAAATCTTTTAATCTTATGTAATCAAAATTGTTCATTTAATCTTTTGTGATCCTTTGTGTAGCTTGTTTGTGAACTCATACCCTATCTGCAGAACTTAGAGGAAAGTTCTTCCTTTCTTGTTTATGATGTGACCTTTCACTCTAAGTTATGTGGAACTTATTTTGATATATTGTTTGAGATACTGAGGCAGCTAGGTGGCACAGTGGACAGAGCATTGGCCCTGGAGTCAGGAAGATGTGAGTTCAAATCCGGCCTTACTAGCGGTGTGACCCTGGGCAAGTCATTTACCTTCTGTTTGTCCTAGGCCACTGGAGTAGAAAATGGCAAACCATGCCAGTATCTTTGTCAGAAAACCCCATGGACATTATTGGCACGATATAGTCAACAGGGTCATGAAAAGTTGGACATGACTGAATAACAACAATGAGCTATTGGTCTATAGCTAGTTTCAGCTAGGTTGTTTAACAGTTTCTTCAACAGTTTTTGTCAGATTGAGTTTTGAGCCTCCATACCTGAAGTCTTTGAGTTTATGAGATACTACATCTATTGTGTTTATTTGCTTCTGTATTTAATACTTCATTTGTTCTTTGTTTGTCCTTCATTCTCCACGAGGACCATGATATCAAGAAGGTGATGTCATGACTTGCAAGTGAATTAGATTTAAGTGAGGCAGGGCTGTTCAAAGTCACCAGCCTCACTCTCTCCTCCAGAGCCATCTGGGTGCAGTGGCAAGATACAGATCAGAACCAATGGAGATGGCCGGATGCAGTGGGAAACCTTAGCCTTTTTAAGGTAAGGGCTTTCCCAGATCTCAGTTTGACTGTGGCAATACCCATTCAGTGATTAAGGTTAGGTAAGAAATGAGGCAAAGAATAGCTTCTTTTACCTAGTCAAAAACAAACAAACAAAAAAAAACCCAATATTAATCCGGGAGGGGAAGACCCTTAGGGTTTCTGGCCAAAACAGAAAAAGTTGCTATTTACGCTCACTCTGAACCAAACTCACTCAGAGTCCAAACAATCATCAAATGAGACTTGTCCGTTCCACGCAACCAGCTCTTTATTTCCTAATCAGTATCAAATAATTTTGATGATTACTGTTTTGTCTTATAGTTGGGATTTGGTACTGTTCTTCCCACTTTTAAAAAAAAATTATTTTCCTTGAGATTCTTGACCTTTTGGCCCTCCAGATAAATTTTGTTATTATTTTTCTAGTTCTCTGAAATAATCCTTTGGTAGCTTGATTGGGATGACACTGAATATGTTAATTGCTTAGGTAATATGTCATTTTTATTATATTGGCTCAACCTATCCATAAACAACTAATATTTTTTTCAATTGTTTAAGTCTGTCTTTATTTGTGCAAAGAGTGTTTTGTAGTTATATTCATATAATTCCTGTGTCTTGTTAGGTAGTCTGCCAAGTATTACGCATGCTGTAGTTATTTTAAATGAATTTTTCTTTCTATGTCTTCCGGCTGAATTTTGTTGCTATACAAAAAATACAGAAATGCTGATGATTTACATGGATTTATTTTATATCTGAACTTAACTGGAATTACTGTTTCAAATTAATTTTTAGTTGACTCTGTAGAATTCTCTAAGTAAACCATAACATCTCAAAAAGCAATAATTTTGTTTACGCTTTGCCTTGCTTATTCTTTCAATTTCATTCTTGTCTTATTATAGCTGTTATTTCTAGAAAGATATCAAATAGTAGTAATGATAATGAACACCCTTACTTTAGCCTTGATCTTACTGGAAAGGTCTTTACTTTATTTCTATTATATATAATACTGGCTCTTGCTTTTTAGATGAATACTACTTATCGTATCAAGGAAAGGTTCATTTATTCCTATCTTTTCTTTTCTTTTCTTTTTGGAAGCAATTGGGTTTAAGTGACTTGCCCAGAGTCACACAGCCAATAAATATCTGAAGCTAGATTTGAATTCAGGTCTTCCTGACTCCAGGGCCAGTGCTCTCTCCACTATACCAACTAGCTGCCCTTATTCCTATGTTTTCTAGTGTTTTGTTTTTTTAAAAAATAAGAATAAAAATAAGACAAAGATATTGTGCTAGGTGGCACAGTGGATAGAGCACCGGCCCTGGATTCAGGAGGACCTGAGTTCAGATACGGCCTCAGACACATAAAACATACTAGCTGTGTGACCCTGGGCAAGTCACTTAACCGCATTGCCTAGCCAAAAAAGAAAAAAAAAAGAATAGTTATGTCTTGTCAAAAGTTTTTTCTGTATCTATTGATATGCTCATATGATCTTGTTGTTCTTATTATTAATATAATCTATTATTTTGATAATTTTGCTAATATATAATCAACTCTACATTCCTAGTACAAATCTAGCCTGGTCATGGTGTATATTTTTTTTGTGATATGTTGCTGTTGTCATTTTGCTAATATTTTATCTAAATTTTTGCATCAATATTTATTAAAATATTGATCTATAGCAATGATCATCAAGCTTTTCATTCTCAGGACCCCTTTATACACTTAAAATTATTGAGAAGCCAAAGAATTTTGTTTATGTGGGTCATATCTATCAATATTTACTGTATTAGAAATTAAAACTGGTACTTTAAAATGTTTATTAGCCCACTTAAAAATAATAACCTGTTACATGTTAACACAAATGATATATTAAATGAAAAATTATTATATTTTCCAAAACAAAAAAATATAGTAAGAAGAGTGACATTTGGTTTACATATTTTTACAAATCTCTTTAATATCTGGCTTAATAGAAGACAACTAGATTCTTATATCTGCTACTGCATGTAATCTGTTACAACATGTTATTTTGGTTGAATTATAAGAAGAAAATCTGTCCTTACACAGATATATATAGTTGGAAAAGGGAGGAGCATTTTAACAGGCAAATAGCTACATTATGAAAATAAGTTTGATGTCACAGATCCCATAAAAGGTTCTTAAGAACTTTCAGGGGTCCTTGGACCACACTTTGAGACTCAATAGCCTATAGTTTTTTTTCCTCTGCTTTGACTCTTGCTGATTTTTATGTCAAGGCCATATTTGTTTCATAGAAGAAATTTAGTAGGCTCTTTTCTTTGTCTATTTTTCCAACACGTGTAATATTGGAATTAATTTTTTTTTTAATGCTTGATAAAATTCACGTATAAGTCCGTCTAATCCTGGATGCTCATTTCTAAGAGTTCGTTTATGGCTTGTTCAATTTCTTTTTCTGATATTGCTTATATGGATCATATCTATTATTATTTACTGTATTAGAAATTAAAACATACTTTAAAATGTTTACTTATTAGCTTACTTAAAATAATCATTATTATTGAATCTGAGCATTTAAGTTTTTGTCAATATTCATTTCATTTAAGTTATCAGTTTTGTCAGCATGTAATTGGGCAAAGTTGTTTCTAATAATTTTTTTTATTTCTTCATTTGTTGTGAATTCACCTTTTTCATTTTTTACTCTGGTGATTTGTTTTTCCTCTTTCTTTTTAAAAATCAAATTAAGTAATGGTTTATCCATTTAAAAAAACAGCTCCCACTTTTATTTATTAATGCAATGGGGTTTTTTTCCTTCCATTTTTTCCAATTCCTTATATGATTTTAAAAATTTGTATTTTGACTTTTAATTAGGTTTTTAAAAATTTGTTGATTTTCTAGTATTTTTAGTTGTGTGCTCAAATCATTGATCGGTTTTTTCTCGTTTTTGTTGATGAAAGTGTATAGAGTTATAAATTTTACCCTGAGGACTCCTTTGACTGAATGCCAAAAATTGTGGCATGTTGTTTCGTTGTCATCATTATCTTTAATGAAATTATTTATTGTTTCTATGATTTCCTCTTCAATCCACCCATTCTTTAGAATTAAGTTATTTAGTCTCCAATTAATTTTTACTCAATAGAATTGCCAGTTGGCACTCACTCCTGCTTCCTTCTCACCAGAATGTTTTTTAAATAAAATTTAAAAAAATACATTGAATTACAAAAGAAACCAAAGGTTAGTGAAAATGGAAATGAGAATTTTTTCCTCCATTCAAGTTCATGGACCCCTCTGTAATCTATCCTGGGACTTCTTGAGGGTACATGGATCCTAGGTTAAGGAATCCTGATCTGGACCTTAGTCCTTCTGTTAGAAACAGAATAGCTTTAGATTCATACATAGTACAAAAAAAGTGGTAACTCATTCCATCTCATTTTTACCTCAGGGAAAAATCTAGTCTCCTTTGTCCACCAGCCTCTCACCTGTCACTGTCATGTCAAAGGATCATAGATTTAGAGCTGGGAGGGAATCTATAAGTCACTCCCTCATTTTTCAGATGAAGAAACAGGACTAGAGAGGTTAGATAACTTGCCCAGGGTCACCCAGCTAGTGTCCAAGGCAGGATTTGAACTGAGGTCTTCCTGACTGAGTTCAACATTCTATTCATTACCCAAGACTACTTCACAAAATTTAAAGAGTTAGAAGGAAACTCAGAAATCATCTAACCCCTTCATCTTAAACATAAGGAAATTGAGACCTGGAGGGGACAAGTGATTTATTTGCACAAAATCACATGGGTAGTAAAAGAACTAAGATTTAAATCTAAATCTTCTGACTAGGGAATTAAGTGGCACAGGGCCTGGATTCAGGAAGACCTGAGTTCAAATCTGATCTCAGACACTCACTAGTTGCGTGACCTTGGGCAAGTCACTTAACCCTATTTGCCTCAGTTTCCTCACCTGTAAAATGAGCCAGAGAAGGAAATGGCAAACCACTCCAGTATCTTTGCCAAGACAACCCCAAACGGGGTCACGAAGAATCGGACGTGACTGAAAAATGAGTGAACAATCCCTGACTAAAAACTCCCCCTCTTTCCACTTGCATGTCATGGCATCACCTCCCTGACATCATGGTCCTCTTCTAGGACGAAGGACAAATAACAACAACAACAAACTCACACCCTTTCTATTATACCAAATGGTTTCTCTGTCAAGACTACTAGAGACACATTTAGAAATGGCCAAGAAACACGTAACCAAGCACAAGGACAGGGACAAATGAGTGAACAGGGACACCAAAAGATAGCTGAAAGATTGACTGGTAGACAGCTGCAGTCTCCTGGCCCTTACCTTCACCTGGCACTGGATCCGGAAGTTGAAGGTTTCATTCCACTCTGGGTTGCGGCAGTCGGAGACAGTCCTTGTTCTCTGCTTCTCGTGGGAGGCAGTTGGGAGCCAGAGACTTACGAAACAGTCTGTCAGACTCACTGCCCGAGGTGGAGGGAGAAAGAGATGGAGAGATCAGGGTCCAGAAAGGAAAAAAAATGGAATCTAAATTAGGCTGGTCCAAGACAAGCGGTCCCCTCAGCCTTTGATCGTGACCTCCCCCACACCCCCTAAACAGGTAAGATTGCACAGGCAGAGAGAGACACCCCAGCTCAGCCCCAGGTCTGCTTGACGACCTCCCAGGACTTATTGACTTGTCACATGTTGTCTCTCCCATTAGAATGGAAGCTTCTTGAGGGCAGGGACTATTTTTGTCTTTCTTTGTATCTCATGCACTTTGCATAAATAAATACTTTTTGACTGACTGACTTTCTTTTGAAGTGAATTTCTTGGACATGAGCCCCATCTTTATTGCCCCATCATTACCTCTAAGACCTGAAGACTCATCTGGTACAATGCCCTTGATTCTTTGGCAAAATAAGTTTCCAAAATCTCGAACAAATCTTTGCTTATTCTAGAACAGCAGTGTGCAATGTAGCCTGAATTTGAGGATAAGACCTCTACATGTAGACCAATAAGACTTTATTTCCTTTTAATGACTGGAGGAATTTGGAAAGAAAACCCTAGTCTGGACTTGAATGAGAAAATAGTGATCTAGACTGAGAAGTATAATAATAATAGCTACCATCTGTATAGCCCATCAAAGTCTGTAAAGCACTTTACAAATATTAGCACATTTGATCCTCACAAGAACCTTGGTAGGTAGGTATTATTATTATTATAAATGTGGCTGCTGAGGCTTAGAGAGTAAAAGTCCTTAGCCCTATATCATGTATATACAAATGCTATTTCCCAGTCCTCAGCAATACTTGGATCAACACAAAAAAGTGTTTTGGGTTTGTTTGGTTGGGTTTTTTTGGGAGGGGTGGGGGGGGAAGAGATCGCCTGTAGGAGGTGCAAGAGCAGCAATGTGGCCTAATGGGTAGGGAACTGATCTCAGATTCAAGAAAGCTTGTCAGGTCCCACCTGGTTATGTGACCTTGGGCAAATCACTTGACTAATCAGTGTCTTGGGGACTCTCTAAGATGGTAAGTTTCAGAATAGTGGCTGATGTGCACAGTGGAGAGAACTTCATCTTTGGGATAACCCCACATCAATCAAATCATAGAACCAATCACCAGCACCACTGGGCCCCTCTCCACAAACCCCACCCCCAACAGCAGGCTCAAGCAAAGGCCCTTAGTGGGAATTGATAAGAGTCGGAAATTGCAGTCTCTTTGACAGAAATGGCGACACAGGTTTGAAGAAATGTTTAGACCTTCTCTGGGTCTAAGAAGAAGAGAGATGCCCAAGAGTCTGGGATCAGCCTCAGTGTAGAGCCATAAACTTTGCCTGGAGAAGAGCCTGTTGGAAATGCCTTGATCACAAGAGGAGAGACAGTTAAGTCAAGGTAAGGGTCCTGAATCAATCAATAAACATTTATCAAGCCTCTGCTATATGCTAGGCGGGCAACTAGGTACATTGTGGGTGCACCAGTGGGTGCATTGTGCTTGTAGTAGGAAGACCCGAGTTCAAATCCAGCCTCAGACACTTATTAAATTTGTGACCTTGGGCAAGTCACTTAACCCTGTTGTCTTGGTTTCCTCATCTGTAAAATGAGCTGGAGAAGGAAATGGCAAACCACTCCAGTATCTTTGCCAAAAAACCCCCAAGTGGGGTCATAAAGAGTTGGACACAACTGAAACAACTAGACAACAACAACATCTGCTAGGCATTGTGCTAAGTTCCGGGGATAAAAATTATTATAATATATTGCAAGTGTATTATAATACACTACAAATATATAATACACTATAAGTGTATAGTGTATTCTTGTTTGGGTATAGGTTGGATTGAATGACTTCCAAGGACTCTTCCATCTCTGACATTTTGTGGTTCAGCAGAAAGAGTTATGTATTTGGAATCAGAAGACTAGGGTTCAAATTATGACTCTGCTGCTTGACACCTTGGTGACTTTGGACAACATATTACTTTACCTCTCTTGGCTTAGATTTCTTCGTCTTTAAAAATAGATGAATTGAACTAGATGACCTCTGAGGCCTCTCCCAACTCTAAATCTATGATCTGAAGTTCTGTGAATAGACATCGATGATGATGAGGAGGAAGACGATGGAAGACAACAATGGAGTGCCGAACAAGGAACTTATCTTCAATTTGAAAGGGGGTAGTATTCTAAGGCATGCTCAGTTTGTACATTTTTTTTCTCATAGGGTGACTATCCGAGGGCTAGGTCATCAAGGTGAGCTTTCTTTCCTGGAAGTGGGTGGTGGGAAGTGACTCAGCAATTGTATGTTACAGTCAGAGGCAGAAGCAACTCCTTCCACACTTGACTCAAGGGTGATTTTCCCCAGGAAGAAGTCAAACAAGTTGCCAGGTGGCTGCTGATGATTTCATTTGAACGTGAGGAGTTGTCCTCAGGATTTTCCAGGATAAAGTATAAATGCCTCTGTCATTTTAAAGCCCATCACAATCTCAACCCAATCTACCATTCTGGCATTATTACATGTTACTCCCCTTCACACACACTATGATTCTGTCAAAGTGGCTTTCTCACTGCATATCATTCACAGAGCTTTATCTCCCATCTCCATGCCTTCGCATTGGCCACCGCCCATGCCTGGAACACATACTTTCCTCGCCTCCATGTCTTAGAATCCCTTGTATCCTTCATAGCTCAGCTCAGGCACCACCTTCTACATGAAGCTTGGTTCTCTACCCTCCCCCGCTTCGCTTCCTGCCCCAGGTATTAGTACTTTCTTACCTTTCTGGAAAGAAGGAAGGAAGGAAGGAAGCATTTATTAAGCACCTATTATATACCAGGCACCATGCTAAGTGCTTTACAAATATTATCTCATTTGATCCTCACAACAACCTTGGCTCTTTTATGATTCCTATTTTATAGTTGAAGAGACTGAAGCCAACAGAAGTTAAGTGACTTGCCCAGGGTCACACAGCTAGGATGTGTCTGAGGCCAGATTTGAACTTAGACCTTCCTGGCTACAGGCCCAGTGTTCTACCCACTATGCCAATGAGCTACCAAATGATCTTGTATCTATTTGTAGATAATTATCTTGTATCTCGTATCCATTTTGCATATAACTATCTTGATCTTAATAGATTGTGAGCTCCCTCATGGCAGGACCTATTTCACTACTGTCTTTGTCATCTCTAGCTCTGAGCATAATGCCTGGTATATAGTGGTGTTTAATAAGTGTTTGTTGATCAGTAGTTTTATAAGGGCAGCTAGGTGGTATAATCCTCTGGGCCCTGGGCCTAGAGTCAGGAAGACTCATCTTCCTGAGTTTAAATCTGGCCTCAGACACTAGCTATGTGACACTGGGCAAGTCACTTCAGCCTGTTTGTCTCAGTTTCCTCATCTGTCAGATGAGCTGGAGAAGGAAATGGCAGACCACACCAGTATCTTTGCCAAGACAACACCAATGGGGTCACGAAGAGTCAGACGTGACTAAAACAACTGAACGACATCAAGCTTTATAAAAGACCTTCACAGAGAGCCATGTTGGCTGACACGCTTGGGGTTCAGTTGTGTGTGTCCTTGGGATGGAGGCTTTTGCAGTCAGATTCATTAGCTTTGTCTTTGGGTAAAACAAAAAGAAGGTTTAAGAAATAGCCTAGTATCTAGAAGACACTAATAGATTTCTAACACTTGTGATCTCGTAAAATAACTCTGCCCCTCTGGCACATGTGAGTAAAATATATGGATGTTCTCAATCACACATACACACACACACATGATCATCCATGGCATGGGGCAAACTACAAGATGGATCCTATGACATTTTCATCTGGATGACCTTAGATTAAAGTGGACATTCAGGGCATCTCAGGAAAAATAATGTAGAAATGTCACAAGAGAGTGAACTTTCACCCGTATGTGTGACTGTGTGTGTATGGAAGGAGAGGAAAGACAGTCCTGATAGGGTTTAAAGCAGGTGTGCTTAACCTGTCTTGTGTCACGGACCCCTCTGGCAATTTGGTGAAGCTTATGGATCCTTTCTTATTTTAAATAATCAAAGGAAAGGTTAAATTTTGGTCCAAGGTTAGAGAAAGTAAAGATAATTTTTTTTCCATCCAAGTTCATAAACCTTCCCTGGTATCTTTCCATGGGCCCTTGGACCTTGGCTTAAGAACAGTTAGTTTAGGAGCAGCTAGGTGGTACAGTGGATAGAGCTCCAGCCTTGGAGTCAAGAGGCCCTGAGTTCAAATCTGGCCTCAGACACTCGACACTTACTAGTTGTGTGACCTTGGGCAAGTCACTTAATCTCAATTGCCTCACCAAAAAGCAAAAACAAACAAAAAGCCAGTTAGTTTATAGCAGCAGTTCTCAAAGTGTTGCCTGTGTACTCCTGGATGTCCCTGAGACCTTTTCAGAGGATCTCCAAGATCAAAACTATTTTCATAATGATTGTTGTTGTTCAGTTATTTCAATCATCTTCAACTCTTTGTGACCCCATTTTGGGATTTTCTTGGCAAAGATACTGGAGCAGTTTGCCATTTCCTTCTCCAGTTCATTTTATGGATGAGGAAACTGAGGCAAACAAAGTGAAGTGACTTGCTCAGGGTCACACATTTAATAAAGTGTCTGGGGCTAGATTTGAACTCAGAAAGATGAGTATTCTAGACTCTAGGCCCTGCACTCTATCCACTGTGTCAGCTAGTTCCTTTTAACATCTTCATAATAATACTAAAATGTTATTTGTCTATTAAAATGCTTCTCTCTTTTTCCCATTATACAATATCTGTGTGAGATTGGATTTTCTTCATATACTTCAACCAAAACAACAAATCACAACAGAATGAATGCTGAAGCAGATATGAGAATCTAGCTGTCTTCTATTAGCATTAAAGAAATTTGCAAAAAATATTTAAACCAATGGCACTCTTCTCATTCAATTTTTGTTATAGAAAATAGTTTTTCATTAAAATATTATTTATGTTAATATGCAATGTGCTTGTTATTTTTATTTTAATGTATTAATAATATTTTAAAATTTATCAGTTTTAAAATCTAATATGCTAAATAGCAACAGATATAACCCATGTAAACAAAAGTTCTTGGGGTCCTCAATAATTTTTAAGAGTGTAAAGAATACTTACATTCTTAAACTTTGATAACTGCTGGTTTAGAACAAACTTGTACCCCCCCAAAACTCCTGAGTACAGTCTGAATCAGATTAAAATGTAATTGAGAAATGTTTAACAAAATTTAAAAAATACAATACAACAAAGATGATGTTAGTTTGTGGTTTTCTAAGTCAATCTGCTCCATCAGGGATCTGTTTCTATTTGAGTTTGATACCACTAGTTTGACATATACATTGGCTGTATACTAGCACCTCAAGAGAGGGAGTCCTGGTATGGGAGATAGTGCTGGACTTGGAATCAAAAAGATCTGGATTCAAATGCTACCTCTGACACTAACTAGCTGTGTTACCCCTGGCAAGTCACTTAACTTACCTGAGCTCTGAATCTCAGGTAACTCTGTAAAGGTTTTGCTACCTGCCTCCATGAAGTTTTCACACCCAGAATTCTCACAACGAATTATATCCCAGGCCCTTGATGACTAAAGTATTTGCATTTCAGGTCTTTCTGAGCTTCGCTGTCCCTATCCCACCCTGAGGAAGAGAGGTGCCAAATGTGAGCTGAAAGGTAGATTACCCAGTGGATCATAAGCTCTGCCACAAGTGCATTTGAATGAAGGAAAATAATCCAGGTCACAGACTACCACCAGGTGTATAAGACTCAGGATGCAGATAAATGCAATGGAAAGAATCATGGAACCTGAGATGAATTCAAAGGAATTTGGATTCAAATTCTGCCTCTGTCATTTACTAATTACATGACTTTGGACAAGTCCATCTACCTCTTTGGGCATCATTTTTTTTTGTCTGTAAGACAAGGGAATTAGACTAGGTGACCTTTAAGGCCACTCCCAACTATAAATCCATAATCATGCTGCCCAGAGTAATGAAGCTACAAAATCTGAGTGAGTAAAGGGTGAAGTCTTTGACCAGTGCCTGGCACATGGTAGACACTTAATAAACGTTTATTGACTGAGTGAATGAACTAGCAATGGCCTTCTTCCTGATTTCCAACAGAGAGATGGATAACTTCAACATTACTCATATTAACTGTTGCTTTCCCACATGCTGTTTAGAGGATGCGGCAGGTCTATAAACCAGCGTCCAATTAATACTGCTAACCACAAGCCTCCCTGAAATGCTATTCCTTTCATGCCTCTCTCCCCTGACAGATGAATTAAACCTATAATTTGCCTATAACAGCTTTCATTGATAGTGGTTCAGGCAGCCTCACTCTCAAGATGAGGTCAGAGACACAATGTTTTTTTTTGTTGTTGTTTTTTTAACTACCTTCCTCCCATCTCTGTTTTTCCTCTCTCATCATCTCATGTCTATGTTACTGTACCAGCCTATGAGCTGTTTTCCCTTCCTCTAACTTCTCCTCCAATTTATTCTGAACAGTGTGGAGAAACTGCCACCAAACACTCCTTTCATCAGCTCGCCTCTCCTATCCATGAACCTGTACTAAGTCCCTGTTGTTTATATGATCAAATTCAAATTCTCCGTCTTTGCCTTTGAGGCTTTCCAATAATCTGATCCCTATCTTACACTCTCAACAGTGTTCAGCCTTATCTCACAACTTCCCAGCATGTCCTCTTTTCTTATTGCCCTTTATACACGACAAGCGTATTCCTGCCTATCCTGTTTTCTTATTACACATCCTCTCCCAGAATGCCCTTCCTTGCTTCTCTCCACTAATCCAAATTCTACCCACACTTCAAGTCCTGGCTTGAATCCCCTTTCTTCCCTGATGAACTTCACTACCAATAATCTCTCTCCACTAGTGTACTGGTTAATGTTTAACATCTGACTCTCTAGGGAAAAAAATATAACCATGACACACTTTTAAGTTTAATCTTCAGTATTAATATTTTCTCTACCACTTTCTCAGGTCTAGACAATCAGCAAAACAACAAATCATGCCCCAATTGGTAGTGTTTGCTGACTTCTGAGGTGTAAATGCCCGCATTGAAAATTGAACAATGGGAGAGCAAGGGATCGTTCACCTGTCAGATTTATGGAGAACAGAAGAATTTATGACCAAACAAGAGACAGAGAACATTATGAAAAGCAAAACAGATAATTTTGATTACATTGAATTGAAAAGCTTTTGCACAAAAAAGCCAATGCAACCAAGATTAGGAGGGAAGCAGAAAACTGGGAAAGAATTTTTGCAACCAGTGTCTTTGATAAAGGCCTCATTTCTAAAATACATAGAGAACTGAGTCAAATTTATAAGAATACAAGTCATTCCCCAATTGATAAATGGTCAAAGGATACGAACAGGCAGTTTTCAGATGGAGAAATTAGAGCTATTTATAATCATATGAAAAAATGCTCTAAATCACTATTGATTAGAGAACTGCAAATCAAAATAACTCTTAGGTACCACATCACACCTATCAGATTGGCTAACATGACAAAACAGGAAAATGATAAATGCTGGAGAAGATGTGGGAAAATTGGAACACTAATGTATTGTTAGTGGGGTTGTGAACTCATTCAGCCATTCTGGACAGCAAGTTGGAACTATGCCCAAAGGGCTATAAAAATGCGCATACCCTTTGACCCAGCAATAGCACTTCTAGGGCTGTATCCCAAAGAGATCATACAAATGGGAAAGGGACCCACATGTACAAAAATATTTATAGCAACTCTTTTTATGGTGGCCAAGAATTGGAAATTGAGGGTATGCCCATCAGTTGGGTAATGGCTGAACAAGCTGTGGCATTTGAATGTAATGTAATACTGTTGTGCTATAAGAAATGATGAGCAGGTGGACTTCAGAGAAACCTGGAAAGACTTATATGAACTGTTGTTGAGTGAAGTGAGCAGAACCAGGAGAACATTGTACCCAGTAACAACCACATTATTTGATAAACAACTTTGATAGACTTAGCTCTTCTCAGCAATGCAAGGATCTAAGACAACTTCAAGGGAGTCCTGATGGAAAATGCTATCCATAACCAGAGAAAAAGCATGGCGTCTGAATGCAGATTGAAGCATACTATTTGCTCTCCTTTTTTTGTTTTGTTTTGTTCTTTCTCGTGGTTCCTCCCATTTGTTCTAATTCTTCTTTGCAACATGACTAATGTGAAAATATGTTTAATAAGAATGTATATGTAGAACGTATATCAGATTGCACGCCATCTTAGGGAGAGGGGAGGGAAGGTAGGTAGAGAAAATTTAAAACTCAAAAACTTATGAAATTGAATGTTGAAAACTAAAAATAAATAAATTAATTTTAAAAAACAGAAAAGAAAATTGAACAATAGATTTCTCCCTTGCTAAAATTCCTATAGCACTTATAATTTGATGTATGAAATCCAAAGTGAATTCTCTCTTGTCTTCCATTGTTTTATAATTGCTCTACTTTTCTCTAATTGTTTCTTGTCCTTAAGTCAGTCAAATAAATCAACTAGCATTTATTAAGCATCTCCTCCATGACAAACATTGTTTTAAGCCCTGGGGATACAAAGAAAAGCAGAAGGCAGATCTTGTTCGCAAGGAGCTCACAATCAAGTGGAAAAAATGTGTAAAGAACTATGTACAAACAAGCAAAGATCATGTACAAACAAGATTGTATAGAAGACGAAGTGGTGATGAGCAACAGAGGGAAGGTGCTAGCCTTCAGGGAGAGCTAGAAGGGCTTCTCGAAGAAAGTGAGATTTTAGCTGGGACTTGAAAGAAGCCAGGGAATTTAAGAGACAGAGATGAGAAGGGATAGAATTCCAGGCAGCAAGTGAAAGTAACTGGAGATGGGAGATGGCGCATCTAGTTCAAGGAAATGCAAGGAGGCCAAGGTCACTGGATCACAGAGTAATGTCCCCTCCCCTAGGATCTTAAGATCACAGGTCATCTGGTCCCATCCCATTATTTTACAGAGGAGGAAACTGAGATTTTGAGAAGGTAAGTGACTTGCCCAGGGCCACACAGCTAGGAAGTGTCAGAGGTTGGATTTGAATCTAGGTCTTTCTTATTCCAAGGCCATCATTCTAGCACAGTGGGGGGCACAGTCATTCTTTTTTTTTTTTTAAGTAACTTAAACACACATATTTTATCCTTTTTTTGGGAGGGGGTTTGTTAGGCAACGGGGTTAAGTGACTTGCCCAGAGTCACACAGGTAGTAAGTGTTATGTGTCTGAGGCCGGATTTGAACTCAAATCCTCCTGACTCCAAGGCCAGAGCTCTATCCATGGCACAGTCATTCTTAATGAATATTTGTTAACAGAAGAGAAGAGGACCTTATTTTTTCCTTAGTGAGGACACCAAGATTGGGGTGATTGGGTGCTTTTGGGGAGCAGCTCCTGACTTGGGGTCAGGCTTAGATGTTCACTTGTGAATAGTGACAGCCATATTCCCCATAGGGCATTGACACAAGGGATTTCCTCTGGACTTCACAGACAGGTAGGAGTCTATTGAGGTGATACTCACACACATCGGCCTGACGGACATTTTTCATCCGAATGATCCTCACTGAGAGCAGATGGCAGGGAAACAACTGCTCCTGTAGAAGGAGGAGAGATCAAACATGATATTAAAAGAGCAATAACCAGTTTGGGGCACAGACATGGGACAGGTGTGTTTCTCCTAGTAATGAACCATCCTTGGAGACGATAACAGCATCTACTTATAGTAGTGCTACTTATAGTATTTATAGTATAGTGTAGGGTTATAGAGACAAATAAATGAGATAACATAAGTAAAGTGCTTTGCAAACTTAAAGCACTACATAAATGTTAGTGATGATTATTTTGGTTATTATTATTACCTCTTCAAGTCAATAAACATTTCTCAAGCACCTACTGATGTGTAAGGTATTTTGCTAGGCTCTGGGGGATATGAAGACAACCCCCAACCCCACCTCCCCAAAGTCATTGCCCTCAAAAAGCATATATTCTATAGATTCAATTTCCTTATCTGTAAAATAGGAATAATCCTACTCAGGTTATCTACTTCACAGTGCCCTGAGGAAAGGAAAGTGTTCTGCTAACTGTAAGGCATTTCCTTCTCCTCCTCCTCTTTCTTTCTTTCTTTCTTTCTTTCTTTCTTTCTTTCTTTCTTTCT